CTCCTCCTCCTCCTCCTCCTCCTCCTCCTCTCCTCCTCACTCACTGCCTTTTAGTCCAATTGTAAGTCAGACAGAAAGGGTTAAGGTCCACACCCAGCCGTCAAGTCACAACGGAAGAGTATCAGATACTGCGGTGCTTCCATTAGTGAGATCTAAAAGTAATCTATTTATCTATCTGGTACATTGGCTTGAGTACTGTCTGTGGGCGCATAATAAAGTAAATAAGGAGGGAATAAGGAAAAGAAAGGGAAAAGGAAGAAGAAAAATACAATGAAATAAATCAACACTGATCATCATCATGATAATGAAATGATGAGATTCATCTTTCCCTCAACAATAATCCCACCCCCTCCTCCCCATTCAGAGCAAGAATCAAAACGGCACTGGGCTTAACCAAAATAATAATAAAATATTATTATCAACGCGGCGATAATTATCAAAACGGTTCCACACCCGGGTACTATACTTGACGGGAAGGGCCTTACTGGCGGTCAAACCTCTCCGGAAGAACGTTCGAGCCCAGCCTCGGTCATGTTAATGACTCGGTTGGTTGGTTGGTGAGTTGGCTGGCGAAACAGGATGGATGCAATCAACTCCGTCCTAGCCTTACCTAAGGTACCTGCCCACCTCCTACCAAGACTTGTTGACTGTCTGCTCCGAACTTACCCAAGAAAAGCTCAAGCTGGGACGCGAGTCCCTTTTAGGTCGGCCATGATGATAATCGTCAACATCATCGTCGTCATGACCATAAACGTACTGATAGAGAAAAGAAAAATACAAATGTAAATGGATAATAAGAGTGATATTAATGCCGTGAACAGGATGGAGACACACAGTCGATATTAACACACGACGATGCTCTTTTCAGGTGCATTATCCTGTTCACTCCGGGTGTAGGTAGGTTGGTCCTTTCGAAGTATAGATAGTAGTATTGGTACATAGATGTCTTGTCTGTGGCTTTTTATACCCGAAAAGTGTTTTTGTGAGTTGTAGGATGGAATACTTCCTGGCATACGCATAAAGGCAGAACAATAGAAAATGTCTTGTGCTGCATCTTAATTTAGACCGCATTATCTTCGAACTTTCCTACTGATCCTAACTCGAACTTGGTTGGTCCATTTGGGGTGCTTTTTAGGTGCTTTATGTGGGTGTGGGAGGGAAGAGGAAGTTGCGTACGGAGTATATGCATAGCACACTGTTCGGTAACCCTCAGGAGGGGCAGCATTGGTATTGCTAGAGAAGGAAAGGGCAGTGAGCAGCAAATGTCTAAGCCACAGGTGGGTAATAATAGTGGGTAGGTGGTGGGGAGTTGTTTTTCACTTGGCGTCGAACAACCGGGAACCCCGGTATAGGACCCGAAGGTTAGTTAGGGTAATTGTCTTGAACAGAAATTAGGAGGAAATAATCTCATTAGACGGTTGGGGAGCATGGTTCCTCCCTGTGGAGAAGACCACCGCCCTAAGCCGGGAAGTGGAATGGTCTTAGAAGCTCCAACCAGAGGGCGAAAACGGCCGATAATGGGGAGCATGCGTAACGACGACGGCGTCAAGTCCCCAGAGGAGGCTTTTAACCACCACCCGTCGGCCGAAACGGCGAAAAGGGAGAGGGGAATGTACTTTTCACTTTGACTTGGAAAAGGACGGGAAGGAATCGGCTGACTTTCTGTCATTATTACTCTTTTAGGGAGCCAAAACAGTACTACTAATAGATGGTAAGAAATTCAGTGCTTTCAGAAATGACCAGAGTATAAAGCTCATTTTACTCACTTCCCGTGTTCTCACAAAATTTTGTTACTTATTTATACCAATTTGTTTCGAATTACTGTTATTTTTCCTTTTTTTTCCCCTACTCTTTTTTTTATTTACCTTTTTGTGGAATTTCCGGTTTTCTTCATGGTATTTTTGATTGGGCGCCGCTCAATCTAATTAAATTTCCGAGGCCCAACGGCCATGGGTTGCTCCAGCCAATTAGTCCCAGACCGTCTGGATGGATCTGTCAACGGCGAACGAACCCCAAGCCTGGAACGGCAAGTATCGTCCTAGGTAATATCGCTAGCCAGGCGCTAACTAGGATCCGGGGTCTTTTAGCACCAGTTCGCCTCGTCCACCTTTCTGCACTTCATGCCTTAATTGACTGGCCTTATCGGTCCAAACGTCAGCATAGTCCCATCCATGATGAATATCTTTCCCGTTCTTCGGGTAAGTCTGAGCATCCATGTTGTGACCAATTTAAATTGACTCATTTGGCTGCCTCACAGCCTTGCCTTTTTGATCAGTTCAGATGGGAGTGGAAGTAAGTAAGATTATAAGTGAGTATTTTGTAGTGATGAGATCCGTCCCTATGGGATCTGGCAGCTTCAGCAAGGGAGTGAAAGAAAAAGTGATACATCCACTCGTGGTGCTGTCAATCAGGTGACAAGGCGGCAAATGGTTCTCTGCCGAGCCTGCGCTGGTGGATCAACGCGGGTTCATCTCTCGTAAGTGGGCTTTTCTGTTCCCTTAATGTTCTAAGTGGTAATATGAAGCTTCGCTTCTCTGTTCCTACTTTGTAGCTAGGTGCGTCCTAAGGTTGTCTTTAGTGTCCATTTACCTATTCCGTCAGGCTAGCGGAGATTGGAGAGCGGTCTTTGCTTTTCTGCTGTATTCTAATTATTCTTTTATTTTTCTTGCCTTTCCCTGTTTTTGCTTTTTCTTGTTTTGTCTTTCCATCTCCCTCATCCTCCAAAAGCATGTGCAGGCAAGGTTCCTACCCTTATCCCTGTCGGGTTTGACGCACTTATTCTCCGAATCCATCAGTCAACATGTCAATGGCCCTGTTACAAGCAGAATGTGATATTGGTATCTTGTCGATACTACTAACAAAGTACAGTAGTAGTAATAACAAGAACGCAAAGATTCTCCCACCCAATCAGCTGGTACAATTAAGACGAGCCATTCAGGCTTTTGCATTTGTTTCTTTCGGGTCTTAGATGCATGAAACACAAGAACCCTAATGTAGGCAAATTTGTTTTTTTGGTCCTTTTCCTTTTCTTCAAACAAGAAGAACAATTGTATGAGATTTGAATTGGATTGCTATGATATTGGTACCATCACCTCGAGTCTATTGCCTGCTAAAGGAGGGGCGCCATGGTGCCATTGGAGAACAGGTGGTACCATAGCTCACTATAGTGTACAGTATATACGACCTTCTATTTCGTCTTGTTTTTATTTTATCTTATTTCTCTCAAAATCTAGCGCTTGTTGCCGAAAATCTTGGTCGGCGACAAATTATTGCCTGGTTGCAAAGTCCGCTGTGGCTCTTCGAGTTCTATTCCTGTGGCAGATACTATGGGGTCATAGGTTTTGATTACCGTCCCGTTAAACCCTCACGGATGACGGTTGAGATTTCGCGATCTCCGGGTCTCGATGGCTCCCATTTAATTAGGAACTGTTGATCGTTTGGGCTGGAACCACAAAAGTGCTGGTACGGCGTGCTTCCAGACTCGCTAAACCGAACTGATTGCCGCCAAAGACGCGTCGGTCTCTTTTCTCTCTGCGCTTGTCTCTGGTACTATGTATCCATATGGCAAAGATTGATGGGTCAATGTTCCATTCACATCGTCTTCAACACAGTAGGTTTTTTCACACTTGTGATCTCGGGAGGAGGGGACGAGGGCGATGTGCCGTTCGTCTCTCATTTCTTTTGGACTGGCTTATTATGCTTTTTTTTTTTTTTTACTCCCGTCACCTACCAGTCCTAAGCAAAAGCTCACTGCTACCTACATACTACTAAGTAGGTAAGTAAAGCATTCCCTTTCGAAAGGTATAATTAACAGAGAACAATCTTCTGGTTCAGGGAAACAGAGGGTAACAATTGGTATGTTTGGGTAAAAAGAGGGAGGGCTGCGGAGAACCTGGATCACAGCTGGACATCGAACGACGGGGCCAACGGGAACAAGGGGTTTCCCGCGCAGCTGCAAGCCTGCAAGATTACCTAGGGACCAGTGGAGACGGGTCAAACGGTGGCTTGCCTTAAAAGCATTCTTCCGACGAGAGTGGCGGAGGCACCAGAGGCCATCCATGCCCAATCAGCACCAGCTTGGGCCCCGTGTTGACAAGCTAAGTGGGACCGACAACGCCAGCTTAGTCCGTTCCATTACTCAGTGACATGGCAAACGCACTGGCGGTCGCAGGGCGCGAGGCTTGATTTCGAAGCTCTCTCTCTGTCTCTCTCTCTTTCGCACTGATGGGCCTTATTGGGAGAGGGTGAAGGGGCGGATACTCGCTACGAGGCTTCTCTGGCCTAAATGTAGTTAGTTGTGTACTATACTCTTAGAAGTACTAGTAGTCCCCATTTTGCCCCCCCTCCTCCTCTCTACTCTCTACTTTCCCCTCCTCCTTCCTCCCCTCTATGCTCCAATAATCTCCAATTCCCTTCAAACTGGCTTTGTTCAGCGTTGAGTGTTTGCTACTACTTGTAGTATAGTAGTGATTATAGTTAATTGGTATCTAGCAGCTATCTATTCACTCTCACCGGTAGTCCAGCCGTTGTCTAGTATACACTCCAATGGGCATTACGTACAACTCGATGTGGCAACGCAATTCGCATCGTAGGTAGCTGCGTACCCTACCTACCTGAAAAGTATCCATGTACCATTCTACCATCCTGTGTAGTAACTTCATGTGCACAGTATCTTTCAATTGCGTTGCCTTGAATTGATTACACTTGCCAATGGCTGTTCTTCCGCTTTCCTGATTTTCTAAACAACTCGGTGCGACTCTACCGACAAACCATGGAAAACAGGCTGCGAATTTACCAATTATAGTTTTGGCGAACGAGCAATCCATGAACACACAATGGCATCCAGGGTGACGCAGAAGTTGCAGTCCACCTACCATGGAACCAGAGGGCGGTAAGTCACCGCCGGATAGATCCATTCGGAGAATTCATGGGTCTGAACGACGCAAACATGGGCCCCTTCGTGACGCGAGCCATGTTACTGTAATACATCCAGCTTTGACCCGATCGATAAACATCATCGTCATCATCATCACTATCATGGCGACCTCTCTATGAGGCCTTTTTTTTTGGCTCTTCTGTCGATTGATCTTGACTTTTATTGACAGACACTCTGCTTTCACTCACCCTTTCATCATTCTCTTGGATTTGTCCTCCAACAATATTGCCCAATGACGATGATGATGCCACCGTCCATACCAGGCGAAACACTAAGTATAGCGTAAACAACTGTGGGTTATGCTCTGCCGTTGGTCTAGAACTTTTCGTGCATCTACTACAATATTCTCCTCTTGTCGAAACGCGTCAAGCTGCTGCTTGCTGAGTCGAGTCTAGGGCCCGAACGAACATGATCCAAATCCCGATTGTGGCCAGACTAAGTGCTTTCCAGCCGATCATCATAACCATCACCCCTTATGATAGTTGACTAGTACTTAGGGGCCAAGCAAAAAGTACTATAGTCTCTGCTGCTAGTAGTAGTGCTAGTACGGAGTAAGTACTCAAGTCTTCCACTGCGTAGTAACGGGTGGCCAGATGGCAAGATCAGCCTCCACATCCGGTTGGTTGAAGAAGGAGACCTTGAATTGTTGCGGTCTATCGCCCCTCCCCTCGTGTTCAAGGCAAGTTCGGAGTTACACGCGCATGAATTTTGTAAAACAATTCATTTATTCATTCATTCTGTTTTTTTTTCTCTTACTTTTCCCACTCCATGTCTCTTGCACTTCGGTCAAACCAGCTGTAAACTTTTGAAGCTTGTTGTACAACAAGCAGATCAGTCCCCAGCCGCTAGCATTGGGAGGGGGTTCAACTGTCTATCAGCATCCCATTGAGGGTTCGGGAAGCTCGCACATCTCCGTAGTTACCGCATCTGAGCATACTCGGTACTCAACCAATGCTTAGTAGCTTTGAACAAGAGCTCACTGAAGTGGACATCTGGTTAAGGCGGTCACACTCCGACCCGCTGGGCACTTTGAGTCGTGGACGGGGCTACATGTCTTTCTTGGGAAGGAGACGGATCTTTTTCCAGTCTAGAGCGCAGTAAGTACGTCTGTTAGCGACGTTGACCAGAAAGTCCAAACGGCTTCGAGGGTGGTTGACAGCCGTCATTGGACCAACGCCAGTGGAGTCGGGCAAGGATTCCATTGCTCTATCTATTCCTGGCTCGCAGTGATCGTCGCAGGAAAATGTCCGACGACCTCACAGAGGGCCCTCTCTTCTCTTCCCCCCACACACCCATGGTCGCATCCTCATGTCCGTGTGTCATGACTTGAGGGTTCGGTTCTACCGCTTCGGGGGTCATATCTACTTGTCCCCTTTTCCTTTCCGCGCTTTATTTCCTATACATCTATCTCCTCGGCGCGTCTGCCAGATAGAATAAATAAGTGTAATGCCGTGATCTAGATGCCAAGACTCGGCTATGGCTGAAACTGGGAAATTATCATCGGACTTGTCTTGTGGTGCTTGTTTCATTTTGGGGAACTGTTACGATCATCCCAGCCTATCCATCCCTCCTTGGTGGTATGATACTTTTTTAACTCAGCTAGCCCGAGTGACCGATAATCTCGATAGTCGATACTAGTAACCCAACTCTATCCATGTCCAGGCAGCCTTATACCTTCCTGAAGATACTCCAAAGTTTCAATCGCATGGTCTGTGCCTGTGGGGTAGGCAGGGCCAGGGTGGTAGTAGTAATCGATACTAGGACTCTTGCGTGGCCCAACAATTTAGATAGAGAGAGAGAGAGAGTATGTTACCGGGAAATCCGTGGGCAAGCATGCTGCCGGGAGAGGAAACAGAACAACGGATAGGTTTCAGTCTACAAATCAGACGTCGGAAGGCTTGCATTGGGCTGGAAGACAAATCGAAACGGGCATTGGATCACCGCTTCGTGGCAAAGCTGAAAGGTGGTCCCGTGGCTATGGAGCCTGGAGCAGAACGCTTGATACTCGCTCGGCGCTGCCCAACTTGAGTGGATCTGCAAGTCAACTGGAGGCCTAGAATTGGCTGCCACCGAAGCAGGTACTTTGTTGGCATCAAGATGCGAACTTGGGAGGGAGCTTGCAATTATCCCAATTCTACTCCGGTATCTACAGCATTATGCTGTACTACCAGGTGAAATTGATTCCTTGTGAATAGGTGCCCATATGCTACGGTAGTAACTAGTGGTAGGTGTACATATCCATCATTCCAAAGGCCATGCATGGTATAGGTGGGATATAGCCCAGCTTCAAAAAAGGGCGAGCCTCCGTTCCGACGAGTGCTGATACTCGCATTGTGTGATGTATAGTGTGTGGCTTTCCGGCTCCGCAATTATCCCTCTGTAAGATGATCAGGTAGTTGGTAGGTGGTTTAGGGAGCTTTATCTCACGTTCAACCCTCGAAAAGTGGGTTTCTGTGGATGCTGGCAAAGGAACTCAGCTGTCACCTTCCCAAGGCAGACTAAACAAGACCCATACAAAGCCCATGGAAGAATTATCCATGTCTTTTTTCTTCCTTCCCTTCTCCTGTTCGTTGCCTTGCTTCCATGTCTTTTCATTTCTGGTTTGTTTTTTTCTTTTTCGCCCCCTTCCCTCTGGGTATTTGCTTGTTTTGTATACTCCATATTCTGTAGGCCCGAATTTTGGGAGTATCTTTCTTTTTCCGATCACCCCCCTCCCTTCCTTCCCTTTCTATGATTTCTTTTTTATTATGCGGTACTTTGTATGACCTGTTCTTAAATGCCGGTCTCTGCATCTGCATCTACTGTGCGTAGTTGGTCAGTCAGTTAGTTACTGACCTGCAGGAAGGAATTGATGGTGGGACCTATCTACCACCAACTGTATCCTAGTCTACCCCTCCCCTTCAGCCGATCACTCAGAGCTGAACACGAACAAACGAACCTACCTTTATGCATGCATACTATACTTACTGGAGATACCGAACTAATTGCGCAGTAAGTCTTCCTACCTCCTACCTAGATAGCACAAGCCAATAACCATTACCTATAATGGCAATTGAACAAACCCAAGGCAAGTAAGTAACTATCTACCACTTAACAGATGCGTATGGAGTAAAACAGAAAGCTAACCACTAAGCAGCTAACTAAATCACCAAGGCAAAAAAAACCCACCGACCAAAACCCGGTACTGGTACTATCTTTCTACTGGCAGCGCCGTCCCAGCTACCTGGATAATATTAATGTTGAATGAAAAGCTAACGTAAAGTAAAAAAAAAAGAAAACCGAACCAAACCAAACCCGACCTACGGAGAACTCCGTTAGTTAGTTACTTACTTACTTTAGCTACTTATGGAAATTTTGGCAGACAGGTCACTCACAAGAGAGATCGCAATTCCGCGATTGAGGTACTCCGCTCGAATCCCATCATCCACTTTTGCGTTCTTTTTTCTTTTTTATTATTTTCAAGTAAGGGTTTTCCGACTTGGTTAATCTGCAGGAAACCATGGTTCGTCACAGATTAGATGCAGGTTTAAACTGTTATCTAACTACTTCCTTCGTAGTTGGATTTTGATTGCTACGGAGGAGTATGGCCCGATGGGTCAAAGGTTCGCTAACCATCTATTTCACATGGGGGACAGAGAGCGAGAGCGAGAATGTTGTGAAGTAAGTGGTTACATTATTTACTTTGTAAATGAGAATGTAAAATGGAAGGTTTGGGATTAGGAGCAAAGATAGAATTGCCCCTCTATCTGGAATTGCGACGCTCCTGGACTGGGTCTCAGCTCTCTTACCTTTCTCTGTGTATGTATGTTTGTCTATCATGCTCTCTCCCGAATCAGACCATGTGGTCGGTCAAAAGGAAAGAAAGTCGAAGGACTTGACTAGACTAAACTAGAACAGAGAGAGAGAGAGAGAGAGAGAGAGGACCGACCCAACGGAAAGTTTTGTGGTGAGATAGCCGATAGAGATTGACCTGGGGCGTGAGATTAATTAAAAGCTCGTCCCGGTGTAATCAATATATGATGCTGGTCTAGTTCTAGTTCGAGTCTAGTATCTATCTAGCTGACGATGATGAAGAAAACGAAGAGGGAGAGGAGTACTACGTAGTAGTGTGAGAGAGAAAGAGGAGGAGGAGGGGTGGTTTGGTTTGGTCTTGGTTTGGTTTGAAGGGGTCCGTCCGGGCTGTCGGTAGGAAAGGCCAATTTGTTTGGGTGGTAAATTAATTCCGCTCCACTTGATGACCAGATGAAACCAAAACCGAGGCCGGGTTGTGGGGAAAGGTAGGAAATTACCACGCGTCTAGAAATGATTTAATTTATCTTAGTCGTGGGTATCTTGGTTGAGAGAGGAGTCTTATTGTCTGTTCGACCAAAGTTAAGTCTACTTTAGTATCCATGATCTAGTAATTAGAAGGTTTTTGGATCGCGATCGAGGAGGGACAGAACAATGGGAGAGTATACTTTAGGGAAAGAGGGGGGAGGGGAATTTAATATCGCGATGCATATTTTCCGGACACTACTGGACTAGCAAGAACCAGTTCATCGGTGAAGGACGGGTGGTCTAGACTCGAAGGAGATTTTTTTTTTTTTTTTCTGGTTTCGCGTCAGGTTCTCTTCTCCATCCTGGTTGTGTTCGGCTATGGGTTGGTTTGGTGGTAGATTGAACGTATCACTTTGGACTGGAGGGGGAGAGGATGACGGAAGGAAAGCGGCTGATGAGGGAGCGAATAGTAACTTAACTTGTACTATACAATGGTCATGTTAAGTGTTTCAGATAACCCTTCATCCCTGCCGGTTTATTGACATACATGAGCAGGAAAGCGGATCGAATCGGATCCTCCCAAAACACACATGAAGGACCAAACGGACACAGCAGAAGCACACTGGCAACGGGCTCGTGTGACATGGACGGTTTGACCATCATAGCTGGGCGCCTCTCCTAACAACAACCAGTGGTGAACTGATTCCAACGGATACCCGTCATCATGGCCTATCTACTGAACCATTGACACTGACACAACCGTTGAACGGCCAGGTGCCGTATCCCGCTGCAATAATCCTGTTCGAAACTTCCCGTGTTCGAGACAACTCTTAGAGCTCACGTCCATCTCATTTGTCGTTGAGAGCGCCAGCCCCGTCATCGTTCGCTACCTCCGTAGAACCAACTAAGGGTAATCTACCCAGGCTGGACTGGCCGGAAACCTGTAGTCCTTGTCGCAAGTATCAGGGCTGGGTACTATGGATATGTCTGCCGGACCGGGCCAGGGTGTACCTGACTGGTCAAGTCTGGAATTCTCATTTCCGCGCGGGTGGTCTGGCAGCCGGCCAGAACTTGGGTTGAACCCCACTCGATCTCGGCCGTCGGGAGTCTCTCAGGACGTCATTGCAAAGGCCATACAGGATACTAGGATGCAAGTACTCCGTATTCGGGACCCAGCCCCTGCGCTGGATCGCTCCGTACAACTCTTGAGTGAGCAGCTGCTGGTAGAATAAGGAAAACAGTATCCGATGTCCTATAATAGCTGAACACGTCACATGGGCATTGGATGTGTGGTGATGAAGGAAGCAAGAGTCGCAGAGTGATATTAACATGTGACATCTGGTCTAATCATGTGACTATTGTCTACTACGCAGTACTGAATAGGAAATCAAGGACCCGGAAGCTTCAATTGAGCTCTTGACAGATATGTTGGAGCTTCTTTCTGCTCAGATCCTTATGCATGAGTCCAACGTTCCCCAAGTCCTCGGGCCTACATCACTTTGAACTATACCACTCACTAGTTCGGACAAACAGAATGCGGAACACTGATGGACTCCAGAAGAACAGCCATAATAGGCACCTTAGTTTTTTCTTTGTTTAGGCATCCTAAATTTCTATTCTGGGAGACCTGGCCATTATAGAGGTGGTCGACAATGTCTGCTGCAAGGCCGTATGGTCCTTTGTTTCTCCGTTTTCACAAGGGCTACAGTGTCTGGATACCATTATCGAACAAGGCCTATATATAAATTCATATTTTCTGAATCTCTATGTTTACTTTTGAGTCAATAGCAATGCTGTCATTGGAAACCAATGATCACACGGCACCTTTCATTGTAATGGCGCGTCAGGTTGTCTCCATTTAAACACTTCAAAGAGATCAGGGAGGTGAAAAGATCCCTGCACCAAGTGCAAACGAGATAAGGCATTCTCTTCCATTCCCACCTTGTCGCTATGTGGTTTTCAGACATAAAGCGAGCAGCACTCTCCTTTGCGGGCATATCCCTTGATCATGATACAGAACGTCTCTCCATCCTGCTAAGTTCGTCTATTCTCGAGCTATACACTCATACAGCCGTCTTTATATTTACTATTCGCTGGACAAGGAACGAAAGATATTGATAGTTCAAGATATGAGCGAACCAAAACCGGAACCGGAACTACCACATCGACGGCTGTCACAGTCACCAGAATCGGTATGTACTCATGGATGGCCGAGCTAGCCAAAGATTACTTGACTAATTGACTGGCAGGATGACCTTATTACCTCTGGCTGGCCCCCTCTGGGATTCAGTCGGGAGAAAGTCAGGGGATTCAGAAATCCAGGTACTTTGTGCTACCGGAACGTGGTGCTTGTTGTACTTATGAATACGCCTATCTTTCTGAAATGGCTTATAAGATATCGCAAAACCCACGAAGCGTGTACTCCAAAGCTGCAGAAATGCTTGACTTGTTGTCTTTATCGTCTTTATTATCTCTATTGGGTCGAGGAAGATGATGGAACACAGAGATTGCAGAGATGCCTGAAACCGTTGTGGAGAATACTTGCAAAGACCTCCTGGAAAGGTTTTACCGAAGGGCAGCAGGATGCGCGTGATTTCATGGAAAGCATATTCCAGCAGCTACTTGCAGAGGTAGATGAACAGGGGTAAGGTTCTTTCTTCATACGCACGCCACACGCCCGGTGCTAACTTGCTTATAGCCGCCGCGAATTGAATGATATTTTCAAGATTCGACTGAGCAGGAACGACAAGTGCTGCAAATGTGAGAAATCAAAGTCTCGGCCTGATGAAAAATTCTTCATGGTGTATGTTCCTGAGGATGAAAATATGCCTGGGTACGCAAACATCGAGGAAGGACTGCTAGACAAGCCAGAGCATTCGAAGGAAAAGTGTGGCAAGTGCAGGCAAGAGACAGACCATATTATGTCTGAGAAGGCTTTATACCTTCCTGAAGTTCTTCTTGTTCAATTTCCCAGGATGAAATACGACAAAATCACGAATGAGCCCAGGAGAATCAGGGTTCCAGTCTGGCTTCAAAAAGACATAGAACTCCCACCTGGTTTATTGAGTGATACAGTGAAAATCGAAGGCTGCGCTCGTTATGAGCTTTTCGGGATAGTATTCCATGAGCCACATGAGACGGACATTCAGATGGGTCATTACACCTGTGCTGTCATGGGACCAGATAATCAGTGGGCACATCAAAACGACATGGAAACCAATACTTATGGATCGCTGGAAGGTTGTTTGGATTTTGGTATGGATAACCACACAAGATTCAAGCCTCCCTACCATGATCGCGTCTGTTGGGCGGTCTACCACCGTGTACCTCTCGAGAGGCCATTAGATCTTGGATCAGGGGACTGGGAGGAAGATCAGGCTTCGGCCATGCAAGCAACTGACAGCGATGAACCGCCCAGCAACCTTGGATGCCATGGCGGCCCCGATGCAGGCTCTCCAAGGGGCTCTTCCCCAGAACCTGGCCCAGGTTCGATGAGCATCGCGCCTCATAATGCTGTATGCCTGGAACAATCCATTCACCTAAAGGGACGAAGATTGAAATGGACAGTCGATGACCAGCTGGTCATACCTGAGGGAGATGGGCCCCTTATCTGGCTGAAACCGGGGAAAAAGGTTCAACATGCCGAGGTCAGGCTTAGACTTGTCTGCCGAAAGACGAGAGAGGTCCTCACAGGGCGAGCTATCATTCCCCTCAAGCCAGATATATTACCCGAGCCATATGACGCTGGAACACGGCCGGACACACCTGTACGAGACATTGCAACACAAACGCGACGCAGGGTCTGCAGGGAAGACAGCGAGTCAGCAAGACTTTCGGGAAATGCGCAAGATAGGGTTATCTCTGGGAGAATTACAAAAGCCGGTAGCCAGAAGCGGTCTCGATCCGCTTAGGGGGGCTTCTCTTGAGAAAGACGCTTCATAGGTTGGACTTGAATCTGCTGGAAGTTGTGTGGAGATTGAGATGGTAGTTGTGTTGTTCGATTATATATTCTTTCTAGTGTGCGGATACCTCAATGCAATGCTTCCATAGTACTTCAGCTTAGCGTCCTGTCGCGTTCGGAACAATTCGAGATTTGATGGATTCAACAATGGTTACGCTGGGTTTTCCATTAATTATCACCATTTGAACTTTCAGATTCTATTGATATCATACTTGTGAGATACTAGTAACATGCGACCTTTTATCGAGGACAGCGCAGTTCCAGGATCAATCGGGTTGTAACCTTCCCGCGCCCTTTTCTACTATCCAGAACTATCTTACACTTTTCATCTCCAGCTACACTTTCCCCAATGGCGTCTCAAAACCAGTCAGACCATCAACTCCCCTCCCAAACAATTCCTTCATCTGCCCAATTTATCGATCAATTGATCTCCCACCTCTCCACCTTCACCGTCCCGCCCGTAGACAGTAATCATGACCACCGGCATCAACCACCAGCCCGACACCACCGCACACCCTTCTCTACTCTCCCTCCATCTCAAATGGCAGAAGTGAAGGCAACAATGTTAACACTCCACTGCATCTTTCCAAATGAGCTTCTCCTCGCTCTGGACATTTTGGATAGGAATCTAGTGAACCGGTTCATATGCAACGACACCAACACCAGCAGTCAAACATCACACCCTACAACCGGCCATCATTCCTCAACAACAAATGCTACCACCAAAGACATACTTGATGTTTTTTATGTCCGCTCAGCATCTACCATTTCCCCCGACCAAAGCGACCCATTCTCAACCTCAAATCCAACCTCACCATATCACACCAAAGAACCAGACCCAAAAGGCTACGAAGTCCGCCTAAAGGCCTGGAACTGCACGTGTCCTACTTTTACCCTGAATGCATTTCGAGACTCGGGACCTGATGGATCCGAAGAGGATTCATCCTCCACCATTGGTCACGATAGCCTATACCTAACAAAGGACAACCACTATCCGTTCGGGGGTTCGTTAACCAGGAACTCCACTCGCTCCTCTCCTCCCGTGTGCAAGCACCTTTTGGCCTGTTGCCTCGCCGTGCGGTGTCCGGGTCTTTTTGGGGGCGGAGAAGGGAGGTCTGTTTCCATTGTCAGTGCGGAGGAATTGGCGGGCTGGTGTGCTGGGTGGGGTGGATGATGAAGGCTCTAGACTTTCTTTGTTCGTTGTGTTGTATGTTTCGAGTCGGTGAGAGATTTAAAGCTATTCTTGGGTGTTTGTTCTTTGTCCTTGTTCTGGGTGGAGAACATGCATGGTGTGCTTTGTCTCTGTTTAGTGAGGGGTGGAACACTACTCATTGTCTCATCGAATAGGTCTCATTGAGGATCGTGGTGGAGGGGTTTCGATGCTAATGAGACCTGATTCATGATGGCTGGGAGCCATTACGTGGAAGATGACCCAGCAACACTATGGCATGACGTGTGCAGGGCAGTGGGATGATCGTCTGTTGGATACGTGCCGGTCTACAAAGACTACTATGACTGTGCCGCCTGTGAACGGCTCCAAAATGTGGAGTCCACTATGAAAGCTTTGGGAGCTTGCAGTTCCATAAGTTCATCCTCGACAATACCTCACGCAAGTGCTGCTCCGAGGATATATCCTACCAATACAGATATAGCAGCATCGTTGCTGGCCAGTCGCAATCAGCCGCGTAGAGATTACCGTAATATACATTCGATGGACTGCATTGTTCTAGATGATCGTATCGCATAGAGTCCCTGACCCGTCTACTCCTTCTGGCTCTTCTTGGCCTTCTCCTTGTCTTGACCCTCCTTCTGCTCTCCATTGGCGGTGCTGTTGGCCTTCTTCGCGGCCTCCTTCTCAGTCTTGGCCGCGTTGGCCTCTTGCTCCCTCTTCAGCTCATTCTCTTCTTGTTGCTGCCGGTTCTGGATCTTGTTCTCGATCAAGTCGTGGAATGCGGTGATGGCGCGGATCAAGCTACTCAAGTAGATCGCCATTAATTGATCGTTGGTCTTGATGCTCATGGCCCGTGCGAGTTCGCTGTTCTCCGACGGCTGTTCGGGGGCGCCACTGATACGCGGCGTGGCGGCTGGTGTGGTAAGGTTGGGGAGGAGGTTGAAGACGTCCTGGAGATTGCCCAGAATGGCGTGGTTGACGGGGAGTTCGTGGTCAAGAACCTTCTGCAGGTATTGGCCGATGTCGCGCAAACGCAGGTGCAGGCCCTGCAGCGACTGAAGCTGCGACGTTATGCGGGTAGAGAGGGTTCCGACAGCGACATCCCTGATATCCCGGAGAAGGTGCTCCACTCCGATTTCCTCTGCTTCCTCGGCTTCGATTATAGAGGGGGTGTGGACGAAGGTCTTTGATGTTGTAGTACCATCCTATTATATGGTTTGTAATGATTAGTCCACAAGTCCACGGACGAGGCCCGTCACAACGGCGCGTAAAGCTACTCACATCCTTGATCTCATCCACGGCAAAGTAAGCATCCGTAGGAACGCCAACCTCCTTCGGTTGGACATCCACAATCACCAGCAGAGGGTTCGGTGTGTAGCGCTTGAAGAGTTCGTTGATTTCCAAATCCGAGGCCCGCAGCTTCGGGCCCGAGTGATACCACCCAACCAGCTTCTCACGAGCATTGATCTTCTTGAACATGTCCCTCATCGACTCGACAAAGTTGTGATCTAGGAACCAAACAGAGGGATCCTTCTCATCTTCCTCGAAGGGCACTGGGAGAGGAACTGTCAGCATGTGGACACTGAAAGAGATACCGAAGGTAATAGAAGGTCAATGACGCACCCGCAAAGCTGTTCGATACCCGGACATTCTGACCCGAGTTCTCACCCAGCAGCACACCAACCACACGTTTCCGGGTACCCTTGGCCGAGCGGCCGTAGTGATCTGCGACGGAGAGAAGGACTAGAGGAGCGACCGTGACGGTGCGCTGAACGAGGGAGAGGGCGTCCGCCGTGGTGGCAGGCATGGCGGAGACAGAAGGAACGCGAGACGAGCTGTCACCGGTGGAGATAGGATTGAGAGGGGAGGATGAAGGGTATGTCAGAAGAGAGTGGGAGGGATTGTTGCGGGATAAGCAAGGGGATGAAGATGGGGAGATGAAGGAGGAGGAGGAGGAGCGATGACGATGAAGAGGGAAGCTGTTGTTGGTTGGATCAACGGAGAGCCTCTGGATTCATTGGAGCTCCGTGCTTGAGCCACATTTGAGTGGCTGATGGGTGTACATTGACACCTCGACACCTGAACACCAGCCACATATATACATTGCTGGTGCCTTTTTGCCTCAGGCATACAATACGGGACACGTGTTCCGGGACTAGTCCCGAGTTGGACTCTTCAAGGCTCAAACCAGTGGAGATTGGCTCGAAGAAAGGACGTCATGTTGGAGATGAGAGATTGCATCCGGGTCAATGGACGCCTCTGAAGGCAATTGAGGATCTACCAACCACCTCCGATCAGAATCCCAAAGACTAGGGTGCCGGTCGAGGCGAATTTCCCAGGGCGCAGGAACCTCGGGTGGGAGACTCCACTCCCTCCGGTCGGCCTCTTTTCTCCCCCAACATGCACTTTCTCCGTTCCCTTCCCTTTCCCCGGTCTGGTTGATATCTCTTCCTCATTCCTGCCACTTCTCTCTCCTCTCTTCCCTCCTCCTTCCCCTCCTGTTCCCTTTCCGGACACTTTTTTGAAGCGTTCTCCTTTTCCTCTCCACTTTTCACATCACAATGGCTCCCATCACGGACGAGGTCGTCAACGGCCTGAAGGACACTATCGGAAAGCTGGAGGCTCGTGTTGAGGAGTTGGAGGGCCGCCTCAGCAACCAGGTCAAGCCCAAGTCGGTTGCTGAGCAGATGCGCATCATCCTGATGGGACCTCCTGGTGCCGGTATGTTCTCCATTGACAATCCTTGGACTCTTTTTGCATCCTCTCGTTCCCTGCTTTTCCGTCCTGCGGAATTCTGACCGATTCTCCAAACTAGGCAAGGGTACCCAGGCTCCCCGACTGAAGGAGAAGTACTGTGTCTGCCACTTGGTAAGTTAATCACTGGGATGTTATAAAAATGCTTTTGAGCCCGATGCTAATGTCAATTTCCACTTGTGCAGGCCACCGGTGACATGCTGCGCTCCCAGGTCGCCAAGAAGACCGCATTGGGCAAGGAGGCTAAGAAGATCATGGATCAGGGTGGTCTGGTCAGCGATGAGATCATGGTCAACATGATCCAGAGCGAGCTTGATAACAACTCCGAGTGCAAGAACGGGTTGGTAACCTAAAACTCTATGCGATTCTGCTTAGTTGGCTGACGGCGCGCGCCTCTTTTTAGATTCATCCTGGATGGTTTCCCTCGTACCGTTGCCCAGGCTGAGCGTCTGGACGACATGCTTAACGCTCGCCAGCAGAAGCTCCAGCACGCCGTTGAGCTTCAGATTGACGATGCCCTTCTGGTGGCCCGTATCACCGGACGTCTCGTCCACCCGGCTTCCGGCCGCTCCTACCACAAGATCTTCAACCCCCCCAAGGAGGAGATGAAGGATGACGTTACTGGCGAGCCCCTCATCCAGCGTTCCGACGACAACGCCGATACCCTCAAGAAGCGTCTCGGCACCTACCACGCCCAGACCGCTCCCGTTGTCGATTACTACAAGAAGACCGGTATCTGGCGCGGCATTGACGCCAGCCAGGAGCCTGGCCAGGTCTGGAAGAGCCTGCTCGGTGTTTTCCGCCAGAACTAGATGCCTTTAAATGGCAGAGGACGTCCACCTCTGAGGCCGGAGTGATGTACCTTAGTGATACCCATCGTTCCGGTGCTTATGTCTTTGCCCGGAGGTAGAGGCTTTTTGTATTGCCCTCACGGGCCGGCGAAGAAAGGCAGAAAAAAAGACCTGCATTGTCCGGGAATGGAAATTGTCTTTCTCATGTCCTTATATAGACTCATGCCTTCCGGCGGGATATCTCTGTTTTGTATAGTAGTAATTTTCGGAATGCGAATAACCTCCGACAAGTAAACCGCCATGATCGCGTAGCTATTGATCTTTTGGACTGGCGTATACAGGCCAACGATATATACTCTTGACCGTCACATATGAACAAAACTTGAAATTCCAGATCATATTATCCGAATTACATGACTACTAAATCTACAGCTGCGTAGGATAGACAGTTGACTCGATCTTCTCCGGATAAGTCAACCCACCCTGCCGTCTAACCTCATCCATCACCTCCATGATCACAATACTCTCCTCCCATGGCAAAGTCTCGCTCTCCAACTTCCCATCCCTCAAGCAGCGCGCCACCTCATCCGCCTCCCAGAACATTCCCTTGCCATCGCCAGGGAACGGGCACTCAACCTCCTTCACCTCACCGTTCCCCTTGGCGGGGATGATACGGTACCGCTCAGGCCGGAACGCCGGCCCATCTACCTGGATCTCACCCTTCGTACCCTGGATCCGGATGGCCGGACGGGCGGTGTTTGCCTCGTCGGGATCAGTAGAGACGCGGAGATGTGTCATTGCCACAGCCTGCGACTGGCCCGGGTGAGGAAGGTTGGAGGGGGTGCTGGTCGGGAAGCTCAAAAGGATGGTAGTGGCCTCATCGGCGCCGGTTAGGTGGTAGAGGGTCATGTGGGCGGAGATGGCAGAGGGGGGTTTACGTTGCTCCCGAGGGAGGGTGTGGTAGAGGGTCTGGAAGACCCAGGTCAGGGAATAAATTCCCACTGTGCGTTCGATATATGGTCAGTTATCAATTGTCGTTGTCATCATCCAGGGGAGGAGGGAAATGGTAGGTAGACACCACATACAATCCAACAAACAACCACCCGCCAAATCCTTATTAACCATACGGTGTTCCGTACCCCATCTCTCCTCGACCGGGTCACCGAAACTGTTATCAGAAATCACCCGCAAGACCTCACCAATAGCACCCTGCTTGATCAAGTCCCTGATCTGGATACTGAGAGGGAAGTAGCGAGTCCAGACAGCTTCCATGAGGAAGAGATTCTTCTTCTGGGCGGTCTCGCAGAGGATCTTTGCCTGGGCCGCGTTGACGGTGAAGGCCTTTTCGCAGAGTACATGCTTTCCGGCGTTAAGAGCCAGCATGACATTCTGAAAGTGGTGGGAGTGTGGGGTTGCGACGTAGACGACGTCGACGTTGGCGTCGGCTACGAGATCTTCATAGGAGCCATAGGCGGCACAGGGGGACGGGATGCCGGTGTCTGAGATGAATTTCTCTGCTCGTGCGGCGTTGGAGGAGGATGCTACGGCCACGACGGTGTGAGAGACGTCGGTGACGTTGCGGATGCTGGGGTCTCTTAGGAGATCGCGGGTGAAGACTATAGTGTTGGTGTTAGGAAAATTTACTGACTGTGAGATTTCGGAGGAGAGGCTTACCATCGGCGATCCATCCCGTAGCTGTAGAGGCGCAATACCATCCATGTTCGTTAGCCAGGGATCTTTTTGTTTGTTTGTCTGGATGCGGGGAAATTGGTCCCTACCCATGATACCCCACCGGATATTGTGGGGAGCCATTGTGAAGATGGAGGACTGGAGATTTTCTTGGATGCTGAACAGGGATCAACAAGGCTAAGGAGTTCTGGACAGTCGCACGGATGTCTTGGGTTCTGAAGAATGCTCGACAGATGTCGAGGGGAAGTGAGGAATAAAAGTAATTCTAGCTGCGCTGGGCGGAGTTGCGCCGAGCGGGGCAGCTTCATTTGCCGACGTCATTCGCCGAGACTATGAAGACTGGGGGGTTAGTATCTATATATAGTGGTTCTACGTTATTAATCACATAAAAGACATCCAGGATGTATATAAATGACCTGATATTTGATTCATCTGGTTCTACAATGGGATACTATATACAAGGCAGCGAGCCCGGGAGTGCTGTATGTGTCCTGTGATCCATCACCATCGTCACTTGCCCCGGAACGCCCAGGGGAAGGGAATTCATTCAACCTTCCCATGCAAAATACAGCCGTGAAGCTGAATGAACGATGCATCTTCGCTCAAAAGCAGAGAATCATCAACAAAGAGTAGGAGAAGAAGAGAAGGGGGAGAAGGGAGTGTACACCCCGATCACACGGGCTCTGTTTTGATCCGTACATTGGATCCAGGAGAATCGGTTCCCTAGTATAATACGTGTTAGTCACAAAGATTTCTAGATAACTCTCATTGATGGATCACTCACCTCGGCCTTGCGTTTGCCCAGAACAGACTCGGGAGTCCCAGTTCGTCCTGACGGCGTCCCCCGGTTGGCTGACGTAGGTCCGTCCTTGGTCACTTCGGCATAGCAGCTGGCGTGGTACACGCGACTTCCCACCTTGACTGCGTCCTGCCAGATCCAGTCCTGTACATCCTCTGACCATGTCGACTCAAACTTCTCTTGGCAGATAGGGCAAGGGGTGTTTCGCAATGTCGCGTCATTCGGGGCGTGGATCCACTGCTTAGGAGGGCCCTTCTTCGTCGCAGCGCCGTCAGCACCAGCAACACCCTCAGCCGAGGCCTCCGTCTCCGCAAGGTCTTGTTCATCTCCCGCCTCACGGGATTTGATCCAATCCTGGAGATAGTTAGTACTGCAGGATAACTGGTTCGGAAATGGTGCGTGACTTACCCGTTCATCAACGTACCAGCTGCGGTTTTGGGCCCGCCTAGCTGCCTCAGACATGCGCTGGTTGGTTCGGAAGTGCCAATCCAAATGGCGAGCTTTCTTCTCCTTCCCTTCTTCCGTTGTAAAGAAACGTTGACCGCATGTTCCACACCGGTTTGACCGGGTCTCGTAGAGGCTGGAGAGCAGCATTGGTCGAGGGCTGGGGGTTCATTAAGTCAGTGATAGGAAAACCAATGTAGCATGACACAGGAAACTCACAGCTTGATGGACGCTGTACTCATTTGAACGCTTATTTGCGCATTCGATGTACCTTGTTGTGCCTGCGGCGTTGCGACGGGAGGCGTGACTCGCACCTGACCCGGTACGATTAGTGGGAAAGCAGGCGCGACATTTGGTGGCGGAGCAGCAGTGAAAGCGGCCGGAGGTGCCGAAGCCGGTGGAAGTAAGCCCTGCGCTCTTAGGGCTGCAATGAGAGGATTTTCTGGTGCGGCGCTGACGGATGGTTGCGGCGCGGTGGTATTAGTGGGCATCTGTGGTAGGATATTGTGGATTTGAGGCGGCGGAGTCGGCTGCTGACGTGTAGCAGTAGCTTTGAGGAGCCCGGCAAGCGTGCCAGGATTGAGGAGCTGTTGTAAAGGTTGCGAAAGTGTTTGGGCTGGGGGAGTAGCCATGGGGGGCGTTGAAACAGCCGGAACAGTTGGAGCAATAACTTGAGGAGCCGGAATTGCAGGCTTCGGAGCGAGAGCTGAAACCTGGTCGCGGACGAGTCTCAATTGCTCCTGGGTGAGTTCTTGCCGTTGCAAGATACCCTGAAGATCCAAAAGAGCCTTCAGTCGTTGCTGTATCGAGGGGTCTAGTGGATTGTTGGCAAAATCGCTTCTGGCGGTGGCAATAAGAGCCTCAATATCTCGGTTGAGAGCCGCGAGATCAACCTCTGTTGTACGTGGCTGGGCTTGGGGAGTCGGGGTTCCCCGTGAAGAGTACGATTCACCCTGCTAATCAAATGAGACCTTCCGCCACTGCACTAAATGGTGAGATGATACTTACCGATGGTGGATATCCGTGACCAGAGCCATTGCGCTGGTAATGCATGGGTAAAGCCTGATTTGCAGCAGGTGGATGGCGGCCCATGCCTTGCGGTGGTGTCGGAGTGCTGTTCCACGCTGGAGGAGTGCCAACTCGACCGCGAGCGAGGATGTCTTGTTGAGTTCGAGCCTGCTGCTGCTGAAGCGCTGCAGTCCTTGCTTTGATCAGAGCACTCTCAATACTGCGAGTGATTTCTGGAGGGAAAACGGGCCTGGTGTCGAGGGAACCGGGCACCGGCTCCTTCCAGGTTTTGAGCATCTCATCCAACTTCTTGCGCGTCTGCGAATCGACCAGTGTGTAGGCGTTCATGAAGGTCTGATACAGATTGCGACCCAGGAACAGAGTGTAGGGCGTGCCTACGTTCTTGACAATCGAATCGACTACATACAAGGCGGGCAACTTCTGAGCCGGCGGAGTCTACAGAGCAGATTAGAATTCGTCCATCCCAAAGAGAGACTACAGACGGGTTGAGCGCCCTCGTCAGGTTCGACGAGGGCCCAACCGGTGGTATTCTGAGAGCGTGTCACCTACTGTTCGAATGTGGTTCTCCAACACGCGGGAGATGGCCATCGCATGTTCAGTGTTCTCCTTGGCTATGACAGTCAGATTGCTGATCTGAAACCTGTCATTGTTGGTTAGATCTTCCAAGGAATTCTTGTAGTCCTCGGCAACTTCGTCGGAGGCCAACCCGGATGACATGGTGGGCAGATACAAAGGCTGATGAGGCTGATGAAGGGGGGAACAGGGGGCAAGTGAGAATAAGAAAAGGGTATCGACAAAGAAGCAAGAAATGAACAATGGACAAGCGCTAAAGAAGGGCGTAACACTCGGAAAGAATATTTATGTTCCTTGTGTTTGTTCTTTCTCCTCTGAATCCTCCTCTTTATATTAATTATTTGTTTTTTTCACTGTATTTTCCAGTTCCTTTTCTCTTCCTTGGACTTTGTTATCTTCTTGTTTTTTTCTTGCTTTTTTTTTTCTTGACTTTCTTCCCTTTTCTCCTTTCTTGTTAGGAACTTGTCCTTCTTATTGCTTTGTTTTCTCTCTTCTTTTCTCCTCTGATTTTTTTCCCCGGCTTTGTCCCTTTTACCACCGTATATAAAGATTCCTAAATCCGCGTGCTTTGTTTCTCTCCAAATAAACGTATCTCCTGAGTGCAAGAGATGGAAAGAGCTGTCGGAACTTGTAGAATGCTTGCTAGCTATCTTGGTCAGACTTGAGACAACAACAGGAGGCCGCAAGCGCAAATCCTCCACCAGAACCCGAAAGTCAACAAAGAACCCGCGCTACAACACCCCGTCAACCCAGTGTTAAGCAATCTATCTCATACAATCACCCGTACTGATTGACCCTTCCAGTAGACAATAACTAGTAGAGGAACCAAACCGGGGCGAAGGGGAGTGGATGAGAGATGGAGGGGAGGGGGAAGGTCTCGGAGTGAAGTTGGGAAATACCCCCAGCAGTTACACACCTCGATGGGGAACGGACGTGCAGAGGGGACCAAGGGAAAAGAAAACCAGCTGAATAGGAAAATCAAAGCTCGACCAGAATGACCAGGAAATAGCAAAAGCAGCCAAAATCGGCCGGGAAGAAGCGAGGCAAAGGGAAGCGAACAGGGAGCAGGAGAGGCAGGCAGAATTGCGGAAGTTGCGCTCACGAGGTCCGAAGAATAGAAAGCGTCAGCGCCGCGGCGTGACTGGCTGAGTCAGCGCACTAGTTTGAGACTCTGGTTCCTTATCCGTTACCGACTAACCCTATTCGGGCAATGCATTCCAGCGCTCTCGTGAATCGATGTGAGTGGGTAGTATGACGCAGTCACACCTTACTCTCCCAACTTGACTAGGTACAACTCCTTCCTCATCGCCTCTATCTCTATATTACAACCATTGGTACTTGAATCTGGGCCTTTGTAATACTATCATCGGTTTTTTAGGAAATATTGCCTTGTGTCGATTTCTTCACCATGAAGTTGTCTGCTACTGTTACCGTCTTGGGGTTGCTCCCCTTGGCCCTGGCCGAATCGATTCTGGTCACGTTCCCTTCAGGGACCCCTGACTCGGTGGTTGATCAGGCAAAGCAATCAGTTAAGGACGCTGTATGTGACCGGGTGCTTTGACAGCGTTGGCACATCTATATGTTACTAACTGGCCGTTTCTGGTAGGGTGGCAAGATCACCCATAATTACAGTAAGCATTTATCCCTAGTCATCCTTGCGTTCTGGGTAGTGGCAGTGCTAACATATTGCTCTCTATAGCTTTGCTCAAGTAATTCTCTCTTGAAAGCCCTGAGGTGCTTGCTTGGTCTGACATACATACACACAGGGGCTTCGCAGCCGACACCAAGGCCGACTCGGTCCAACAGCTGTCAACTGAATTCGCGGCATACAATCCAACTGTCGAGAAAGACATGACTGTCACTATTCAGTGAGAGCGATATTGGATAGTCCGGGGGAAGAAAGCTCCCTTTTCTCTATTCCAAATTACTACTGTATGATGGATGGGGTTCCCGCTGGTTTCGGGGCTCGACCCTTGATGGTCGATAATGGATGGGAAAAACTAGCTTAGATTGTAATTCAGGATTCTTATGTATCATTTGTCTTCTTCTGTTTCTGGAAAGAAAGTTTGTGTCTTGTTCTTGTCTAATGGACCATTTTATGTCATAACTTTTAAAGCCGGCGACTGTTTCCCATAACTCAACAAACAACACAAAAGCAATCAAGATATGAATACATGATAGGGATCACTTGTCACTTTTCCAATCTTTCAAACCATTTCCATCCTCAGTGGATGTTGTTTCACATGGGGAAAGTAGAAAATAAGGAAGCAGCGCTGTGGGTGACCCTAAATCATTCCTTTCCCCCCAAGCGGGACTTCGGTATTTATAGCTCGTCGATGCGCGTAGCGTGGATCCCGCCTCCAACGCCCCGGAGGCGCTCAAAAAAGGATCTCATCGAGGCACAGTCCTCTTCCTCCGCCGTCCAGGTTTAAACTCAACCGTGCTGAGGGGTCGCAATTAGCCCCTCCTGGCCGCGATCCGAATACAATTGCCGGCAATTCCACCCAGCCGTTCCTGGAATTTGCAACAACCGCCGCGTTCCCCGCTCAGTTGATTGCCCCCGATTGCAGTCAACATCGCCCGACCATGGCTGCGGAGCATACCGTCACCCAGGCCCTGCTGGAATGGGTCAACAGTTTCGCCTTGGGTAAGACTATCCGGACGACCGAGGAGTTATCGGATGGCACCATCATTTGGGAGATCTTGCAGGACATCGATCCGCAGTATTTCCTCGACGAGATCCCCCAGCGCGCCCCGTCCGACCACTGGCTATCCAAATGGCAGAACCTGAAACATATCCACAAGTTGCTCGTCAACTACATCCGCCAACAACCCGATGGCATGCCCACGGGTCTTGACCCCAATCCCAACCTCGAATTGGTCGCCGAAAAGAACTCCGTTAAGGAGGCCAACAAACTCCTGAAGCTCCTTCTGATCGCCGCCATCCGCTCCCCCAACGCGCAGACCTACGTCGAGACCCTTCAGAGCCTAAGTACCCCGACGCAAGAGACCCTGAAAAACATCTTCGAAGAAGCTCAGAATGGTCAGCATGAGGCTATCGATGGCGAGGACGATGTCAAGGAGGAGCGGGATCTGCCCGTCGACCCGGAACTGCAGTTTGAAGAGCGGGTAGGAAAGGTGTTGGCGGAGAATAACCGGATGGCGCGTGAGAAAAAGGACATGCAGAAACAGATCGATGATATGCACGATCGCCTGGCGCGCCTCCAGGAGAACAACGATACCTTACAAAGCCGACTTGCATCGACCGAAGACCGACTAGTCAACTTGAGGTCTGGGAAGGGTGATCTTGGACTCAGCGCAAAGGCTCTCGAGTCTAAATCCCGCCAACAGGAAGACATTATCGCAACCCAGGAAGCAAGGCTGGCTACAGCGCAGGATGAGATCGACAGTTTACGCATGACGGTGGAGTCGTTACGCGTCAAGAACCAACGATTCCAGAAGCTTCAGGATGACTATGATGAGCTGAAGACTGAGCGAGATCAACTCGCTCGTAAGGCGAATGCGGCCGAAAAGTACCGCCAGAAGCTGCAGGCTAGCCAGGACTTCGAGAAGGAGAACCAGTCGCTCAGGAACCAGATCAAAGACTTCCAGCAACAGCTGAAGGAGGCGGATTCGCAGCAGAAATGGAACTCCGAGCGTGAGGTGGAGCTTGAAGAATACCGCAGAGTTTTGCCTCGCATTGAGCAGGAGTGCAGTGAAATCCAAAACCTGAAGAAGCAGCTCGAGTTCAACAACCATGCTCTCACAGAGCGACTCAGTAACGCCGATGAGCAGCGCGAACGTGACGATGCTTTGATAAGCGAGCTCCGTGAGCGAATCCGTGAACTGGAAGGTTCTCCTGGAAGCCCATCCCTGACGCCGGGTACTGAAACTCCCAAGCTCGAGGGCACTCTGCAGAAAGACTTTGAGGCGATCGGTGTGAAGGAATCACAGCTGTTAGAAGACCCTGTGCTACAGCCACGGAGATCTAGGCTAACTCGCTACAGGAAATCTGAGAATGAAGAGTTGAAGAAAGAAGTGGAATCTCTAAAAGGGCCATCCGTATGTTTACATATTATGGCTACTATCATCTTATTTGAAGCCGCTAACAAGGTAATACAGGTGGGCTTGGACTTTTCCGAAGCCTTCAATGAAACGCTGCAACAGGCCCGCGCAAATTCTTCGCAGAGGTATTTCCTACTAGAAGCAGCCTAGCTAGTATAACCGCTAACGATGCATCAGTGATGATTACTGGAAGTTGTACGACCAGTATACATCTGCCCTCAAGAGATTGGCCGAGGCCCAAGAAGCTCTCGATGTATCCAAGAGATCGCTGAACGATGCGCTAGCGGAAAGTGAGTAGCTACTGTTCGGCGAAATCCGTGTGTGTGAACTTTGCTTACACGAATGCAGTTGAACTCTCCAACAAAGAGAACATGGATCTGATTGCCGAGATCAAAGCGAGCAGCGCATCGGATTTGACTAAGGCTCGTGAAGGAGAAGATGATGCTATGCGCAGACTGTACAATTTGCAGGCCGAGCTTGATTCAACCCAGGCTCTGGTCCAGGTCACATGTGCCGAACGTGACGATCTACGAAACTTGCTCGAGAAGAAGCAAGCGGAGTTCCGTGCGGAAGATCATGAAGCTGCAGAGGAAATGAAGAAGCTGCTGGCCGAACTCACTGCACAGGAAAATGGCGATGATCCCGAAGCTGCTCAAAAGTCGGCTGTAGAGCTCATTAGACAAGTCGCCGCGCAGATTGAAAAGAATCTGGAGAGGCTGGCGAAACGTGCAGAGGTTAGTTACAAGAAACCCCATCGGCTCTCAACCTGTGTTACCCCGAACCAAGCAAGGGCTATTCGCCTCGGTAGCCTCAGTGGCGACAGGAAACGTCTCGATCTTCTTGCGGATCGGCCATTTGGCGATTCGACCCAGATATTAGCAGCGAAGGCACCCGGCCTATCGCGCCTGGGTCGATTAATCGCCAAGCGGTTCAGGCGCTGAGGCTTGGCTGCCACCTTGACCCATTGATACATCCTATCCCATTTACACTTTACGGCCTACAAAAGACTAATACGAATCATCTTGCAGTATATCCATCAACAGAACGAACACATCAAGTTCCTCCAAGAGCGGATAAAGCAACTTGAAGAGGATACGGATGATGGAATCAGCAAAGAGCGCGAGGTAAGTTGTCATTTGACACGGACTAGCTATTGCAAGCCACTAATATTCAAATTCTCCAAACAGCTCGAACTCCAGAAGATAATCGATGCTCAAGCGCGGGAGCTGACTTTGATGAGCTCCTCCTGGTACGAACTCCAGAATCGATTACAGAACAACAACATTGGCCTGGCCCGGTATCGGAATGGATCCCTGGCCGATGCTCAGAAGGGCTGGCTAGCCAGGCAAAGAAGCGTGGTCGCTGGTCGATAAAGCTCCGGTTTGTATGTTGGCGATATGGTTTACGTCCTATCTCTTCTTCGTACATGTCTTTCTAATTCTACCCTTTCCCCCTTTTTTCTCCCCTGCGCATTTTCTATCGTTACCAAGACTGTGTTTGTTGTTGCTATACCTTTTTCTTTCTACATACATATGTTTCCGTTGCTCGCCGCGCTATACCAGCTCGTTGCGGCTCAACTACTACGACTACTACTACTACCCCTGGGTTTTCCGTTGGAGCTTGATCGGCATTATAAACATATCATACGCACATTTATGGCATTGCTGCATGTGTTAGACAAGTGTATATTTTGAAAGTCTTTCTTTTTTCTGATTTCTAGAGACAGTGCTGCTTTTGACATGACGTAGCCCATAGATGCAGCTCATAAAATAATATACATGCAGATAATACATAATTTTCAGGAAAAGAAACCATATCCTTGCCGATGATCCATGATCCATCTAATCCAAGCAGCATTACACCCACTGTCTAGGATGTTTCAGAACATCCATGATCTCCTTCTCGCGCTCCTTGCCCTCGCCCAGAAGTGCCTCATCACCATCCACGGAATCCTCCGTCCGAGTTCCGGACACGGGGTCCATGTAAGCCCAGCTTGCGGTGCGGGGCAAACTCATCAGAATACTCTCAATGCGGGCATTAGGGGTGCGGAGACCGAAGCTAGTACCGCGATCATAGACGAGATTGAACTCGACGTAGCGACCGCGTCGAAGCTGTTGCCACTCCTTTTGCTCAGGTGTAAAAGGCATGTCCTTCCGGCGTTCGATAATGGGGACATAAGAGGGGAGGAAAGAAGCGAGACCGTCCGAGACGAAGGAGAAAAGGGTCTCCTGGGGGTTCTGTGAGGAGGTCGACGAGGACTGGAGGAAGCTGGCGTCCAGGTCATCGAAGAAGATACCTCCTACACCGCGGCATTCGCGGCGGTGGGGGATATAGAAGTACTTGTCGCACCAGGCTTTGAACTTCGGGTAGTATGTGGCGTCGTGGCGATCACAGGCGTCTTTGATGGTCTGGTGGAAGTGTTTGGCGTCTTCGGGGAATAGGTAGGTGGGGGTCAGATCTGTGCCACCGCCGAACCACCAGTTCTTGTCGCCATTGAGGGGGTCCTTGGGGTCGGATGTCTCAAAGTACCGGTAGTTCAGGTGGACGGTTGGGGCCATTGGGTTGTGGGGGTGGAGAACGAGGGACAGACCGGCAGCGAAGAAGCTCAAGGAGTCCACGTCGGCGCCAACAAAGGACTTGTGGTCTGCCCGCATCTTCTCAATTGCTGGCCGGGGAAGTTCGCCGTAGACGATGGATACGTTGACTCCGGCTTTCTCAAAGACATTTCCGTCTTGAAGGACACAGGATATTCCACCTCCGCCGTTGGGGCGCGTCCAGGTATCAGTCTTGAATTGCTTTCCATCTATACGGCTCAACTCTTCAATTATTTTCTGTTGGTGGTCCTTGATCAGCTTCTCCATGCGCAGGCGCATGGGAGATTGTTCGCTGATCGTGGCTTGCTTCTTGAGAGTTTCATCGAGTTCCACGAGGGAGGGCGAGTCGAGTTCGGTTACTTCTTCCGTCATCTGTATTAAATATAGTCAGATTAAGACATTCGCGCAAAGTGCATGGTGGGTAAAGTCTACCATGGAATACACCAAAGCACCGATGAAGGGCACACCAATGGCCAGCCGTAGGTATGGTCTCCAGACAGTGAATGGCTTGGGTTCGGAAGGGGGTTTCTGTTCCGAAGAGTATCTGCGAAAGGGCGCTGAGAATTTGCGAGGTGTGCGACAGGATCGAGATGAGAATTGACAGAGCGACCTCCGAAGAGGCATATATGGCCGGGGAACAGCCATTGTTGCAGAGTAGATGGAATTGGCTGATCTGCCAAAGATCAGGTGGTGCCAGGTATTGTGCCTGTCGAGAATCGACCGGTTGTTGTTCCCTCCGAGCTCCACCTATGGTCTAGAGCCAGTAGTGGGTAGGGATTTGGTAATGGAGGATTTGTTCAGATCATCGGCTCCGAGGCACAGTATGGGACCACCTGCGGCCTCGATATTCCCGAATGTCGTGAGGATATGAAATCTGTTTGTGCAGTTTGCAATGATTGTTGGGTTTGTCTGAACATGGGACCCGGCCCGGCTGAGATAAGCACTTTGCATGGTTTGCAGGGCTGCCAATGCCAATGCCGAAGCCAACCCCTGGGTCCGAACACCCCCCAAGGCAGCAGCACAACATCAAGCGGGGTTGCTCCATGAGTGAAGAATGTGTCAGTCACTAGCGGAGTAGATTTAACTACTATGCAGATAGTGAGCGATCTTGAGTCACTCAACAGCAGTAACTAGATAGAGTGCAGGAAATGTGGGTGCTGCACCAAGCGGTAGACAGTAACCATTCTAGCATGGGAAACCCCATAATCTAGGCGCTGATCCTAAGTGGAGGCTGGAGGCATCGCCCGCCGAGCTACCACTTCACTACCGATGCAGTAATGCGAAGGCGGCCCAGCTCGATGACAACCAAACGGTATCATCCGCATTGGTCATTTGGATGAGTGCACAACATCCACGTGCCAGGATGACGACAGGAACTGCCCTGACGGACTGGCTTAGATATCCGAAAGATGATCGAATGTGCTATGAATCGAGCCAGCACATGACCCGACCTGACTCACGTGTGGGGCCGCTCACCGCCTCCACCCCGTGATCCACGCTTGCCTGGCGGCCTTATCAGCCGTGGAAGCCGTTCCCTCACCAAATGACGCGGGGCTGTCGCCTTCAACTCTCTCTACAACTGCCAGCCTGCTCACCTTTTGTCATCATCCATCTATCTCTCCATCCCATCCCATCCATCTATCCATTCCATCGGCCATCTCACCCTTGCTCTGTTATCTCTTAACTTTCATCCAGCTTCTGTCACCCTTTCGCTCCTCTTCGTCTACTTCTTCACTATCTCCCCCTTAAGGGACCCGTCGGACCAGACCTATTAGCCGCCTTCATCAACTTATCAATATGCGTTCCAAGTTTAAGGACGAGCACCCCTTCGAGAAGCGCAAGGCAGAGGCCGAGCGTATCCGCCAGAAATATGCCGATCGCATTCCCGTACGTCTATCTTCTATTTTACCTCCTACTGTGATTTTGGTTTCATGATCTTTTTGGGGGAGAAACCGGGTCCCTAGCTCACCGCTTGTTCGAGTCGCTAACCCAGCTTCTATCCTACAGGTAATCTGCGAAAAGGTCGAAAAATCGGACATCGCCACCATCGACAAGAAGAAGTACCTTGTCCCTGCCGACCTTACAGTTGGACAGTTCGTCTACGTGATCCGTAAGCGGATCAAGCTGTCTCCTGAGAAGGCGATCTTTATCTTTGTCGATGAGGTTTTACCACCTACGGCTGCTCTGATGAGCAGCATCTATGAAGAGCACAAGGATGAAGATGGCTTCTTGTATATCACGTAGGCCGACCCCTCCGATACCCTAGTATCTCTGTTCTGTGTGCATAGTGCTAACCCGGATCTCTCTTTATTAGGTACTCCGGCGAGAATACGTTCGGTGACTGCTAGGCGCTGGTCGATCTCATCTTTCCCTTTTGGTCTGATTTCCCTGTCTCTTGAAGTGAATTCGCTGCCGTCATCGTTCAAGTCACTTCCTTCAGTTGCCATTTCCTTCTTTTGGGGAAGTTGCAGATTGACTTCCTGGATGTAGGGGTTGGTTGCTGTAGGACAGGGGTGGATGGCGAGCTCGACCACGCTGTGATGTTTCTATGCTGTGCTGTACGCGGGCGTTATCTTGGGGGCTCTTCATTAATCTTCGTGAACTCTCTTGGCGAAATGAGTATTCTTCTTCAGATGGTAGTTTAAATGAGAAACAATCGTTGCTATTGATGGAAGCTTGTCTTGTGTGACCGTAGATTCAGGTGTAACAAAATAGTCATGATTGAACAAGCTACTACGTACTACATACTTTCCGGACCATGGAATAACTAGAACTAGCTAACTAATGTATGGATTAGTAGTTTAGATAACTAACTAGATTATCTAAAACCAGTTAGTTTATCACCGGCTGCTGAGATAATCAGGGCCGCTCCGATCCAGGGCCGGTAGTGCCAGGCCCAAAGGGGGCTAGTGGCGTTGAAGCACCGGCCGCGACGCTTGGAGCGGTTCCGAGTCGGCGCAGAAACAGTCAGTCAGTCCATCTTTCTCGGTCTCTTCCTCTTCTTCCTCTTGCTCTTTTTCCTCCCCTCCCTCTCTCGTGCATCCGCCTTACCCATCATCCTTTTCTTTGCTGCATTGCCTAGCCCCGGCTGTGGTCTCTTGTCCTGTCTTTGTTGGCATTCCTGTCCTATATATAAATCTTTCCGTCCTTCCTCTTTCCTTCTGAATCGCCTTTTCATCTCCCCGACGGAAAAGCAGCCTCAGGCCCGGAAAATTTTATACTCTCCAATCTCTACCCCGACTACGCCCAACTCAGCCCAATTCCCATAATCAAGATGTCTCCCGCTATGGCCCAAGCCGGTGCTGGCTCTGCCGCTAAGGATGTCAAGAGAGAATCCGCGACTGCTCGTCTTCTGGGTTCCGGTATGTGTCACACCCATCTTGTGCCCAGGGCGTGGGGGTTGCGCTCGAGGACTAACTCTCCGTTTCAGGAACTGCCGGAATTGCGGAGTTGATGGTCTTCCACCCTGTACGATTAGACACTACCCTCTCGAATATTTGCGCATCGATTGCGCTCTTCTCGCCTGAGAAATCAAAAACTGACTCATCGACCAGGTTGATACCATCTCCAAGCGATTGATGAGCAACCAGACTCGGGTACGACACTTCCTGTCCCATATACATACAAGGCCATAGAAATGCATTGGGCTAACTGTGCTCTGGCTTAGATTACCTCTACCGCCGGTCTGAACCAGGTTGTCTTCAAGGAGTACGCCAACGCCTCTTTCGGCGGCAAGTTCACCTCCCTCTTCCCCGGTCTGGGTTACGCCGCCGGTTACAAGGTTCTCCAGCGTATCTACAAGTACGGTGGTCAGCCTTTCGCTCGCGACTACCTCGCTCAGCACTGGGGTTCCGACTTCGACAATGCTTTCGGCAAGGGTACCGGCAAGGCCATCATGCACGCCACTGCTGGAAGGTTCGTTTTGTGTTTCGGTCATCGATGATAACGCTCTGGCTAATCATATGGGAACAGTTTGATCGGTATCGGAGAGATCGTCCTTCTGCCCCTGGACGTCCTGAAGATCAAGCGTCAGACTAACCCCGAGGCTTTCCGTGGCCGTGGTCTGTTCAAGATCATCTCCGATGA